CACGGCAGCGGCCTGGTTCGATCCCGGGTCTGGTCAAGTGGGATTTGTGGTGGACAAAGTGGCGCTGGTGCGGGTTTTCTCCGAGTACTTCGGTTTCCCTTGCCAATCTTTATTCCACCAAATTCTCCATCATCATAATCACCCGGGGCAGGCTACAATAGGCCAATCAGTCACCGCCGTGCCGAGTGGACCCAGTTGGACTCCACCCCCACTAAGCGAATCTATCTATCTATCTATCTATCTATCTATCTATCTATCTATCTATCTATCTATCTATCTATCTATCTATCTATCTATCTATCTATCTATCTATCTATCTATCTATCTATCTATCTATCTATCTATCTATCTATCTATCTATCTATCTATCTATCTGTCTGTCTATGGCTCTACAGGCTTTTGTCGGACTTCGGCCTCTTTTTAAGTTTCTTAATCCTATAAACAGTCTGTATGACTCCTTGGACAGCGGATCAGCCCATCGCAAGGCCACTATCTACACAGAGAGCAACACAGACACGGAATGGAACTAACAAGTTCACTATACTTCAATAGCACACTTGTAAATATTGCAATATATTAATAATAATATAAATAGAGGCAGGCCCGTTGTGTTAGAGGCCGTGGTGGTCGCAAACAGTGCAAATATGCCTCAAGTGCAGACCCCTCCTGATACCTTGTTCTCGAATCGCGTACCTTGAAATGTTATTCAGTCTATGGTCACCATTTTGAGTGGTCAGCAGGGTAGCGGGGTAGAGAGAGCAGTTGTGGATAGATGTAGCTGACTGGATCAGGGGGCAGACCGCTTAGTTATAGTCTGGAGCGGTCTGGAGGTGGCACAGGCTCTCTGTACACGTGGTGTCTCCATGCTCCTACCCACCCACCTATGTTAGCGAAAGCGGTGCTTTGTAGCAGTGGTGGCAGCCGTGGGAGACAACTCCGTCTCTTCATGATATGCACTGGATGGAAGGAGGATTGCGGGCCTCGTGTTTTACGCAGTGAGACATGCACCTAATTCTGAGAGATATGTACTTTTTTTTATTGCTAGTGGGGTGGGACTAAGTCCCTTGTACTGCGGCCACTTCTGGCCTATTGTACCGGCCCCAGATGATAGGTGAGGGTGATTGTGGAGCAATTGGTGGAATGAAGATTGGCAGGAGAAACCGAAGTACTCGGAGAAACAGATAATTGCATTTGCTGTGAACTTTATGACGATGTTGAGTTGGCTCCTCGCAGCTGCGAACTTCGTGTGAGCTTCAGGACCACGCTGGATCTGTTCGTGTGGCAGACAAGCTATGTCCAAGGAGGCGAATGCCGGGATTCTGTTACCAAGTGCCGGATATGACAAATATCATTCCTGGATCGTGTTGTCGAGGACGAAGTTTGGAATCTTATCGTGTGTATCAGGTGCATCGATATTCTTTTCCTCAGATTCTTCTCGGTTGCGTCACTCAAATTACGTAATAGTTCCGGAAATCGCTCAAGACAATTTCCTTTCTCCTCCTTCACAACAGGTCAATCATATAATAGGAAGTAAAAGAAGGTAAAGCTATCCCTGTAACAGGCCGTGGAGGCCCATAGGGTTGTGAGGCGTCGAGTTTCCCACGTTTTCTAGACAATCGACACACAGATGGGGGTGAGGTTGTCAGCCTTACGCGCCGGCCACCCTTTATCCTCCAGGAAGGTTCCTGGTACTCGTTTCTGGAGTATGAGTAGACCCCAGGGCCATAACGATACTGGAAGGGTTAGGTAAATTGAAAAAATCCACCTCATTGGGACTCGAATCAGCGACCTTCCGGCTTGTAGCATAGTGCCTGAACCAACTACGCTATCGGGTGTCATACGATAGGAAGTATATATACGTGGTACAGTCATTAAGTTCGTGGAATGTGGTCTTATCGCATCATATTACGAGGTATTCACTTACGCTTATACAGATCCACATCGGCCCTCAAAATAGTTGCCGTTGGCCGCTATGCAAGTCTGCCAACGTTGATATAGCTGCCGAAAACATTGCTGAAACATATTGGCGGAAAATTCCCGTACGGCGTCTCTTGTGGAAATGACCACCTCCTCGGACGACTGAAACCTACGATCACGTAGCTTTGCTTTCAAGCGGCGAAAGAGAAAGAGATCGCAGGGTGCGAGATCAGGTGAGTACGGAGGGTGTGGCAAAACAGTGACATGTTGCCTTGTCAGTTCATCTTGGACAAGAACAGAGCGATGTGCAGGAGCGTTGTCTTGAAGCAACAGCCAATTATTCCTACGCCAAACGTTTCGCTACGGAATTTGCCTAGTTTTTTTGCAGAACTTGATGTTTTCCCGTTGTTCAAACTGTCACATTTTCGATTTCCGCCACTTGCATTTAACTGCAGTTCACAATAGAGGCCGTAGTTCTCTTTATACTGTTTGCAGACAACTGCCTCTTGCTGTGACGAGAGATGAACTGACAGGGCATCACGTCGTGCCTCAACCTATCCACTGTAGTGCACTGCAACGAAGCTTTGCGGCCAGTCCACGAAATTATTGACTGTGGTAGTATTACAGGGTGTCCCAGGAGGAATGTGCTAAACTTCGGGAGGGTGTTCCTTATGTTAAAGTATGCCGATATAACCCAAAACACCTATGTCCAAAGTTGAACGGTTACGGAGATAATGGCCCGAGAAAAGTGTGGTCTTCTAGCGGGTCCACGGATTATACCTATCAGCTGAGAGGAATTATCTCTGTTTGTCCTTGACTGCCGTGATTCATCCTATCAGTGCTTATGGAGTTGGCTTTATCAGAACGCGCAGTCAGCACGTTACGTCATCGCTTACCATTCATGTGTCATGTACAGTGCTTGGAACTCTTAACGACAACTTTGAGATGGCATGCGAGTTTTTTGTACTTCAATTTTATGGCTTCATGTCACTCACAAGTTAGTTTGATGTTACGTACATTATTAACATTACAGAATCCACATATTCCTGCCAGTTTTAATATGTATTTTGTAATCAACAAGTGTGTAACCCCGGTCAAAGTTTGACACTTCTCTGGCCATTATCTCCGTAACCGTTCAACTTTGGACATAGGTGTTTTGGGTTATATCGGCATACTTTAACATAAGGAACACCCTCCCGAAGTTTGGCACATTCCTCCTGGAACACCCTGATATAAAATACAGCATAAACCGGAGGATACACTCGTAGATAGATGGATAATATTAAAATTGATATAAAGAAATAGGATATAATAGTGAGGACTGGATTTAAGTAGCTCCGGAAGAAAACCAGTAGCTGGATATTTTACACAAAGTACTGAAATTATGTGTACCCAAAAAGGTGTGGAATTTATTGGCCAAGAGATCAAGTTTTAGTTTCTCAAGGATTTTGGACCACAAAATTGGTCAGTTACTTAGTTGTTCAATATAATTCCTTTAAAACTATGTAATCACTACCATTGATTAATAACAGAAGAGTGAAGGAAGGATGGTTCAATAATTTCATGCACTGAAGAGGAATTTCTTGACATTTGGAAGTTAACTGTACACAGAACCCTACGACACAATCACTAAGATTAGCGTCGTATCATGAAGAAGCTACTTCAGGAACTTGTTGAGGAGGTAGAATGAGTTGTAACCCATATTTCTCTGGTGGCCAGAAACCTGTTGCATGCTATAACAATGTGACGATGGGCAACAGTTCAGCAAGCACATTCCCACAACAAAGAAGAAGCCCTCTTCTAGTCAACGGTTCGGTAAGCACGTTTCCGTGACAACAAACACTTTCCCATGGTTACCGGCAGCTTATATAAGGAGCCGTGCAGAGAAGAACGAAGACTATCCCGTGTGGAGGCGGGGTCGAATACCTCCACCGTGACCCTGCGAGTCATAGAAGGCGACGAAAAGGGAAGTCTCAAATCTGAGACAGTAAAATTTGGTCGCGAGCACCAAGGGACTTGGACCCGAGAAAGACTTCGCTGGCAAAGCCCATCAGCATATAAAAAAGACAGACCCATCCTCTGGTCAGAGAGGGCGCCCCACAGAAACAAGGCCGTAACTGTCAAACGGTAATAATTAGATGGGGTTCGACACCAAGACTTACTTACTGACTGACTGACTGACTGACTGACTGATTGACTGACCGTCAGTCGCAATGTGACTCTGAATTTGACTTTGACTTGAGAACGAAGACTTTCATCAGACAGCTGACGTTCGAGGCAGTCGCAGTAGAAAGGAGACCCAATAACTAATTTGGGAGTAATTCTTGATTCGTCGCAGTGGAACAGAAGATATTTGTAGTCCAGTAAGGAATAGAGCGAGTCGTATTCATTTATTATGAGTTGTCATAATTAACTGTGATTGTAAAGAAGCGCTAATAAATCCAGTCATCAAATCCAGAACCCATTATTATTAGTCACGCAAACGCCTAATACTTGAGAATACTAACCCTGTCTGAGACTCTGCATATTTTGTGGACTGCAGAACTTATATTAAGACGGTTGTTGCTAAATTCAATGCCCACCCTCAAGCTGAATGACCACAGATGTGTATGTACAAACAGCACAGTATTTTTATACTCGCAGTTCCGATAAGAAGGGGAGAGGAATGAGTCAACACGTAACATGGGACAGAAAGACAAGATATTAAAAAAAATATATCTCAGTGAGTGGGAAACGTCTTTGATGAGAGAGGAAGAGGGGTGAGAGAGAGTGGAAAGTGTGTGAAACCTACTCAACACACACACACACACACACATACACACACACACACATACATATATATATATATATATAACGGCTGTGTTGGAACTTGAGTACCTC